CCCCAGTGATGTTTATGCACATCACAAAGTAGTGAATAAAGTCGAAGCGGAGAGGAGGGAGAGTTCAGCCAGGAGGCTCCCAAAGCTTGTTGCCAAATTCGTGGATTGGCCTTTCATAATCTTCCATAGTGCCAAAGAATACTTAAAAGCAACAAATCTCATTATATAAACAGAGATGGACGATGAGAGCCGGGAAAGGTGCCACTTCATCAACATTTTTTTACGTGGCAGCCCTGGCGATCGGTCGGTGGGGAATTTGGGAAGCTAATAGGATTTTTTGGTAATGCTAGGACCACACAAAGGAGGAAAAGCGAGACACTTTGCTGCATCCAGAGATGCAAACCGGTTTCACACCCCAAACAATGCAACCTCCAAAGAATGGGAAAACTCTGCTATTTTTTTATTTAAACTGTTTTTTTGGTCTGGGCTTTTACATTTTAGCTTTTAGTCCAAATTTCTAGGGTTGATTTTTCTGGGTTTGCTCCACTGCTGATTCATAGTATTGATTCGGGCATTGATTTCCCCCCCCCCCCGGTTTTATGAGTTTTCTATTTTTGCTAGCTGCTTATTCCGGGTGCCCCTTCTGTTTGAAGGCTGGGATTGGGCAAATCACACTCTCTCAGCCTCAAGGAAAGGCAATGGCAAACCTCCTCTGATAACTTTGCCTTAGAGTCGAACCTAAGGCGAATCTATCATGGGATTTTCTTGGCAAGATTTGTTCAGAAGAGGTATGCCATTGCCTTCCCTTGAGGCTGAGAGAGTGTGACTTGCCCAAGGTCACCCAGTGAGTTTCACGGCTGAACAGGGAATCAAACCCTGGTCTCCAGAGTCATAGTGCAACATTCAAACCATTATGCTATACACAGACCATTAGGTTGCAACCCTGCATTGCTGTATTCACACCTCCATTTTTGCCACTGTCGGCTGAGTACACCTGTTGCACTATGGCAAATAATTCATGCCCAACGAATAGTGAAACTTGCACATGCCAGCCAAGTGTTCTTTCCGCCTGGCTATTAGGACCCGAACAAATGGCCATTCACTTTTTGGAAGAAGAAAAAAGTACACTGCCTAATATTAAAAACAAAACAAAACATTATTTCAAAACCAGGACTGACTTTCTGGTCTCTTCTGGGGCTTTTTGTGCCAGTGTTTTGGCATTCCTGCAGTCATCCCAAGGGCAGAATAATGGCCCACAAGCCCATCTCAGTTGCCCACCACCCCTCAGCTACAGCTTAAACACGGGCCATAAATACAGGGAAACAGGCAATAAAACCCAACACATTCCGGATTTCACAAACAGGCTGGAAAAGCAAATCCCCAAAGCCTCCTCTCTTGCTTCCATCCCTTATTTTTTTTAAAACAACTAGCCAGCAAATAGTAATGAACCGCCTCAAGGCATAAACCGAAGCAACTCTGATGCTCTCGACTGTGCTCAAGCGAGTGAGGAAAAGCTCATGTACAGAGCTTTGGGGACACATCACTTTTTATGGACTGCAACACCCAGAATCCCCCGACCAGCATGGCCATACTGGCTCCAGTCTGGATTACGAGCTAAACCAAGAGACTAACCAATGAGCCAAACTTATTTATTATTATTGTATGAATCAAAATACTTATTTTTGATGATGTTATTGCTGGGTGTCTTCACAACCAGATGTAAACCACTTGGTTTGAATGCTGTACTAGGACTTAAAATAAGAGGTCAGTTGCAACCTTTTCTTTAAAGATTAGAAGCTGGACAGTCCAACAAGCAAGCAAGACTTTCAACCTTAAAATATGGGCAATGTGGAGTTGCTTCGAGCTTCAAGGACATTTATTGCAAATCTTGACCTTCCTAACCCTACGTTTATTGGGTTTCCTTGATGGGTTCTGAGTCTGAGACAGGGCTTTTAGGTGAGAGTCCCAAGTGTTTACCTAATTCACTTGATCTTTCTCTGCCAACTTTCCCAGCTCCCTTGTTTTGCAGGATGGTGCGATCTCCACCTTCTTGCAACACTCATGGCTGGATCTTCCATTCTCAATCTTCTTTTTGCGGTCTGTGGAGAGGAGCCTGAAGAACATGGAGCAATTTGGGGACCCAACCTTAAGAACATGTCTGGAAGATTTTCCTTGTTTGGGCAAGAATTCCTCCAAATTGCTTGTTTTCTTCTGGTGCCCATGCCTCGGAGCCAAGATTACCTGCAAGATTGTGGCGACTGATATGCCAGCAGGGTGTTTCTGCTTATCAGTCAACAGCAAAGTAGGAGTCACGTCTTTCCTTTTAATATATGTCTATTTCACTCTCTCCTGAAGATCAAGCATTGCCTAAAATAGGGAAAGCACAAAACGGAGCCAGCTTTTCGTGGACTGCAATTCCCAGACGCTCTCGCCAGCAATGCTTTGAGGCAGACTGGATAAATATCTGCAAGAGGGATGAGCAAAATGCATCCCTCCGTAGTTGATGGATTGCGACTCCCAGCATTTCTTGCCATTGGAGACATGAGCGAGGGCTGATGAGAGATGTAGCCCAATCTGTCCTGTTGATTGTTGTCCTTTGTTGTTGTACAGGGCTCTAATTCTATGTATTGACTAAACTGAGACTGTCATACTTTGGCCATATCATGGGAAGACGTGGCACACTAGGAAAAAACCCCAATAATGTTTGGTAAGGCATTCTCCATTGTATTTAATGGAACTTGAGCATCTGTAAATTTTGGTATCCATGGGGAGAGGTCCCAGAACCAAACCCAGTGGATACTAAGGGCCCAATGTACTTCGTATGCAAAGGGATCTCGTAGCACCTTTGAGACTGTGTGAAAGCAGTTGTAGCATGAGTTTTTGTAGACCTGGTCTCCTTCCTCAGATGCATGGAGTGAATGTGTGTGTACTTTTTGTGTGTGATTGGTCACTGGAAGATAATTTGCTCCATTTGCAACTCTGGTCGCTTAGAGGTGTGTCCCTGAGGAAGTCCCATTGCGAGAGGAAAAACAGGTTAATTGTAGGGAACATAGATTTCCCCTTAATGCCTAGCTAAGGTGATATAACTCCACTTATGGGATTGGTCACATCCACCCTGGATTAGAGGTAAGAGTGTTTAATTCAAAACACATAAACCAGAAATGCAGTCCTCTCCAAAGGGCCACAGTCCAAAAAACAACAACAAAGCAAACGTGGGATCTAAATGGAGACCAAGGCAACATAATAGAAGTTGCCTTGGATTTGTATAGTTGTTGCAACACAGGAGTCACATAGGATCTATATGGAGTCCAAAGCAACCTATCACGGGAGAGGCTGAAACATCCAAGGTGCATCTACATGGTAGAAATAATGCATTTTGACACCACTTTATGTGCTGTAACTGCATCCTATTGAATTGTGGTGTCTATAGTTTTGCAAGGTCTATGTGCTATGCGCTCTGCAGAGGGGCGGGATATAAATAATAATAATAATAATAATAATAATAATAATAATAATAGTTGTTGTTGTTGTTGTTGTTGTTGTTGTCTTTAGACTTCTCTGCCCAAGTGTGTTGGTGCCTCACCAGACTATTAGTCACAGGATTCTGTAGGATTGAGCCATAGTAGTTAAAGTGGCATCAAACTGCGTTATTTCTACAGTATACATGCACCCTCCAGACCACATGAAGAAAGCAAAAAGCTGAAGAAGCTGTCCAAAACATATTGTAGACTGTGCAAACAATTTGCACCAAACAATTGCACAGTTGCATGTTGCCTGTGCAGACAGCTATGCCCATCTTTGTTCCGTGGCGTGCTAGAATAATAAATAATAAATAAATGTGAAGTCGTAGGCTTTCATGGCTGGCATCCATAGTTTTTGTGGGTTTTTCGGGCTGTGTGGCTATGTTCTAGAAGAGTTTCTTTCTGACATTTCGCCAGCATTTTTCTCTGAAGATGCCAGCCACAGATGCTGGCGAAACATCAGAAAGAAACTCTTCTAGAACATAGCCACACAGCCCGAAAAACCCACAAAAAACTAATAAGTAAATGGATGGCCCTTGTGGTCTCTTCCTACTCTGTGATTCTAGGATTCTATGAAATAAATAAGTAATATAAAAACAGTTTGCACAGAAGACGGTGCAAACAACTGCAGAGTCGCAGGCTGCCTGTGCAGAGAGCTATGTGCAATTTTTGTTCCATGGAGTGGTAGAATAATAAAGAGCGTGTTGACAGCTAGCCAGCTTCAGATTTCTGTACTGAAAGATAGATGGGATTTCATTTTCAGCCAGCAATCCTTGCCATCTCCATCAGAGAAACCTGCCTTCCATGAGCTGGAGCAAGCTCACCGAAAGCCAGGGCAAAACACTGAGCCTCTCTGTTGAATGCACACAATCCCTCTTTATAAAATATTTGTTTGAACATTTCCTAGCCAAGCTTTTATGATAAAGATTGGTGCGTTCTTTGAAGGGAGGTGGGCACCGTGCATTTAACCTTTCGGTCAACTCTCACCACACCATTAGCTAGCAAGCCCACCTCCAGGAATGTGGGGCTGTTTATCCTGAATTTTTGCATCTTATGGGAAGTAAGTGGAAATGAAGGCACCAGAGCTCTCAGACAGAGAAGGCTAAATGTCTCCCAAAACTACAGTTCCCAAGAATTTCATAGCACTGAGCCATGGCAGTTAAAGTGGCATCAAGCTGGATTATTAATTATTATTATTATGCAGCCTATAAATGAAATGAAATGAAAATTTTAAAGGGAGGAGAAGGAACTAGTGGTGATGGAGGAAAATAATATAATAATAATAATAATAATAATAATAATAATAATAATAATAATAATAATAATAAATGTGCCCATACCTCAGTTAGCAAAGACTCTGACAAAGAACTTTCTTCTTACAAAGGCTTTTTTACAGCCATCAGCCTCCCCTTCCTCCCCTCATTGTCTTTGTATAGTATCAACAACGTCTTGGCAAATTTCTTCAGGGTTTTCTTTGCCATTGACATCCTCTGAGTCTGAGAGAGTGTGACTTGCCTAAGGTCACCTGGTGGGGTTCCCAGACTGAGCCAGGATTCGAACCCTGGTCTCCTGAGTTATAGTCCAACACTCAAACCACTCCGCCACACTTGCTCTCAATAGCTCCACTTTATCAGCCATGGCTGCATCCTACTGAATCCTAGGATGTGCAGTTTGGGGGGGGGGGTACTTTGAATTGTCAGCTCAGAGAGAGCTCTAGTGCCCTCCAAAGTACAAATCCCTGGGATTCCAGCCATGACAGTGAAATCATAGTGCTATAAAGGTGTTGCGTGAACATTGTTAGCACCAAAATAGTGTCCTCCAAAACAGCTTTGTTCAATCAGGTGGATCCAGAAAAAGCAGATAAAGAATGGAGAATGCCCATAGATGAATATTTTAAGAGAAAATAATCGAAATAGAACAAGTCAAAATGGGAGAATTTTAACGAACCATGTTTTGGGAAAGACAACATAATTATAAGATTGGGCATATAGATATCATAAGAAATGATCTTTGAACATTGAATATATATCATAGAATTTGAATTTTTGATAGAGAGCAGAGGTGAAACAGAGGTTGTTAAAGGAAAAAAGAGAAATTGTTGCAAGAATATGGATAAAAGGTATTTGTTGTCAAAGGAACTCAATGGAAGTCTAGTAGTATTGCTTAGGATGAAGGGATAGATGTAATTAATTATTTGTATGAGTTTTTTTAGGTGTGTATGTATGAAATATTATAAATAAAATTAATTAATAAAACATAGTGCAGTCCTTCTTTTCCTTGGCATGCCATCCAGACTCCAAACAACCCTCTTTTGCTCCCTTTTCCTCAGTGGTTTTGCCACCCAGATTTCTGGGTCACCTAGCGATTATATGGTTTTATTTAGGCTAAGAGGCATTGACCATGATGCCAGCCAGCCCTCCTCCGGGGGAAAGCCCTGTTGCATAAACAATACTTTTTGGAGAGAATAAGCCAAATTCTGTGTCGCCCTGACCCACAACAGAGCCAATAAATTCGGTCCCCGGTCATAAATCGCCCAAGAAAGAGCCTTCTTGTTCCATTAAAAGAATGAAGCTCAACTCTGACCCCGGGAGGAGTAATCATATTACAGAATTAATAAAACAAGCTCCATCGGATCTCTGGCTTGCTTTCCAAAAGGAACATGGGCCCTTGGCCTTCCAAAGAGTCACAGTCCCACAGTTCACAGCGCAAGGGGGAAAATGCATAAAATGCACCGCTACAACTGTCAAGGGAAGCCGGGGAAAAGATTTATAGGGTAAACTCCTAGGGCTTTCAAGTCACATTCCTCCTGCCCACAGTCCCACTCAGCCTTGCTGCAAAAGTGCCTCTTTCTCAGGCTGGAAGATGGAGTTTCAGATGGCTTTTCATTACCGAGGGTGTGGGAGAAGGTTTTCATGGGAGACAAATGCCTCTCCTGCGTCTGGAGCATGTTGATTTAAAAGGTTCCCGTCCAAAAAAGCAAAGGCGGCAAGCAATCCCATACAAGCAAAACAATTTATTGGCATCAGGGTATATATATATATATATATATATATATATATATATATATATATATGTCTCGTATGTTGCTTCAGGTTTCTTCAGGAGTTTAATCTCTTGGGCAGAGTGGAGAGTTTGCAGAACAGAAGTGGGTCATAGAATTACAGAGTTGGAAGAGGCCTCAAAGGCCATCTAGTCCAACCCCCTGCCATGCAGGAACTCACAATCAAAGCATCCCCAAAAGTTGGCTATGTCATGTCCACCCTGGACTGAAGTCCTGAAGACCAACTCTTTCTGTTCCCATTCTTTCTAACACTCACTTCTTGGTGATGGGTGCAATTGGAACGTAATGATTAGTGTCACTCCCACCAAAACACATGGATTATTATTATTATTATTATTATTCCAGCAAGAGTCCTTGGCTGAATGCAATTTATATACATATTATACAGTTTTCAACTGAGACTTATGGTGATCCCCATCCTAGGTTTCTTCAGATGAAGTTTGCCATTGCCTTCTGGGGCTGAGAGGATGTGACTTGCCCATTGTCAGTCACCCAGTGGGGTTCCAGGGCTGGGCAGGGATTTGAACCCTGGTTTCGTAGAGTCTTGGGTTGCATCTGCACTGCAGAAATAATGCAGTTTGGCAACACTTTAACTTCCAGGGCTCACTGCTATGGAATCCTGGGATTTATAGTTTGGGGGACGCCAAAGCTCTATGACAGGGAAGGCTAAATATCGCACAAAACTACAGATGCCAGAATTCCATAACATTGAGTCATGGGAGATAAAGTGGTGTCAAAGTGCTTTTATGCATTTTTAAATCACAGTCCTAAGGATTTCCTCTGAACTCCAAAATAATAAAGAAAATTCATGAAAAAAGCACCAGGAGAAAATATTTAAAATGTTCCGGTAATGGAATGGTAACCAGTTAGGTTAAGATGTGTATGTATAGGGAGGGAAGAGGGAGGAGGGTGCCAGCTTTGCAATGAATTACATAATTATGTAAATTTTAAAAGTGCAGGCGGGTCTCAGTTTACACGCTTGCATTCCTGGACTTGTGATGTAAATTGAGGCTGACACAAATGGAGGGAAGCCAGTTCCATAGGGGAACCTTGGAGACCCGGGGGATGCATTCCAACAGAGCTGAAGTAGCCACAGAGTTATCAATTTCACTCAACACCCTCCCCCCCCCCCATTTTAAAGAGTTTTAAGGCATAAAACATCAGGGCTGAACCTTTTCCAGGTAGAGAAAGGGGCAGATGCTCTCCAGAGGGACCAGAAGAGGGAGAGACTGCTGATCCCAAGAGGTCATTTTGGATCCAGGGGCATTTCTAAGGGGGTGCAAGGAGTGCGGATTGCACTGGGTGACACCTCAGGTGTGGGTGTCTGTCTCCTGGTATGGAGTGTACTGGTGCTCCTCTTTGCAGGTAGACTGGGACTCCCATAGATTGAAGGTCCTTGCAAGGACATGGTCCATCCTCCCGGAGGCACTGAGGACGTCAGCTGAGATATGGTCAGCACACCAAAGTGAACTTTGGTAGGTTTCTCCCATCACCAAATGGCACCTGGACTCCTTTGGGACTTGCAAACAAGGCAAGTAGGCTAGAACAACCCAGGACACGTACAGTTCCTTTGGGTATCCCAATCCACCAGACGTTGGTGGCAACCAGACTGGAGATTTTCTCTTCCATAGTGGTCCAATCTACTCCTGAGGGACCACTGGCCTTGCATCTCCAAGCATTGGAGTGACAGCATGAGTTAATGCATTGGGTGGCCCCAAACCTAGTTTCATCTGTGATGTGTTGGATGGTATGCATTGCCATCTCCAAAGTTTAGTCTCCTTGGGTAGGCACAAGAGAAGCTAAATTGTCAACATCTACTGCCATGAAAACCAATGCATTTGGGATAATGTGGGGCTGGAGAAGAGGGCTGAGGATCCCATGGAGAGCCAAAAGGATAAACCAAGGGGTCCTAGAACAGATCAAGCCAGAGATAGCCCTAGAAGTTAAGATGACCAAACTGAGGCTGTCATACTTTGGACACATCATGAGAAGAAGAAAGGACTCTTTGGAAAAGACAATAATGCTGGGAATGGTGGAGGGAAGTAGGAAGAGAGGAAGGCTACATGTCAGATGGAGGGAGTCTATGAAGGAGGTCACAAATATTAAGGGGTTGCAGGAATTAAGCAGAGCAGGAGAGGACAGAGGGTCTTCTTGGAGATGTCTCATCCATCCATAGGGTTGCCATGAGTCGAGATCGACTCAAGGGCAGTTAACAACTTATGCACAGCCTGCCATGGGCTTTTTTATTGGAGATATTTTGGGAGATCCTGGAAACACAATGCCACCTGAGAGCAATATTTTGTTCCTTGAAGTTGGAGAAAGCATTGGGCAGAAAAAGATCGCCCGCTTCTCCTTGGCATGACTGAGCAAACCAAACCGCGGTCTTTGTTCCGAAGCATGCCCAAGGAGCACACTGTTCCCAGAAGGCCCACTTGAGTGAGGAATGGCTTCCAGGCAGAACGGTTCTCGAAGAAAACCAGACTGAAATGTCATTTAATGGAGTAGCAGCGTTGCATTCTTTGAGAGTTAAATAACCAAGAGAAATAATCATAAATTGATCTCGCCACACTGTGTATATTCCTCTCCTCTCCCCTTTCAAATACTTTCTCTCCCCTTTCAAATACTTTATCGTTCCAAGGCTGCTGACATAGTAACCAGAATCCAGCCCCAGGGAATGATGGAGGGCATAAGCCCAAATGTCAACCAAAAATCTGTTAAGGGAACAGGAGGAACCTACCGTACTACCTGGTGCATGTATCCAGAGCAGGGGGGAACTT